TTTGTGACACCTTATCTTCATGATACATGTATATGTGTTCACTTAGTCCATCTTTGTATATGAGTTGTGTTTAGCATATTTTATATTTATGCTTGCTCACATATTTGCCATGATCTTTATTGCATATATTCTTTATGGCTTTTTGATAGGGGGAGCCTTCCCCATATTTTTGTTTATACTCACTTGTGCTTTTTGTTAGGGGGAGCTTTCGCTCTCTTCTTTATCATATTGTTTTCTCTCATTTTTGATGTTGCCAAAGGGGAGAAAAATGTGAGGTATACAATATTTTATTTTTTTAGCTTGTTTATTGATTTTATAATGCATATTGGTAAATTGTTTGTCATCATAAAAAAAGAGGAGATTGTTGGCCTTCTTGTTTTGATGATGATTTAATAAACAATTTACGACTAATATTATTTTTAGCATTTTGTTTTGTGTTGTTTAGTATACACAGGAAAATGAGCTAAATTGATATTGAAGCCTATGGAAATCAAGTCAATCAATCAAAGTTTTAGTATACACAGGAAAATGAGCTAAATTGATATTGAAGCCTATGGAAATCAAGTCAATCAATCAAAGTTCAAGCTTCAGAAGAATCATTCTCTAAATTGATATTGAAGCCTATGGAAATCAAGTCAATCAATCAAAGTTCAAGCTTCAGAAGAATCATTCTCGGTATACTTAGTATAGGATTATATTATGTGTGTTATTCTATAAGCTCAAATACATACACATACATTTTATTTGTGAATTTTCATGAAAATAAGTGTTTTTATACAAAATACATTCAAATACATTTTGGACTATACAAACCATGCTAACATCTTTTATTATGTCCATAAAAAGATTACACAAGTTTTCAGAACTTTTGGACTATACAAACCATGCTAACATCTTTTATTATGTCCATAAAAAGATTACACAAGTTTTCAGAACTTGATTTGAGCTAAAATGGCAAAATCAATACACAAGTTTTCAGAACTTGATTTGAGCTAAAATGGCAAAATCAACATATTTGAAAAACATGTATTTTTGCATTTTTGAATATTTCTGTGTTTTCACAAATGGTAAGAGCAAATTAAAAAAAATCTTTTTCCAACATGTTCATATTCATGTTTATAAACTTTTTCTAAACTTTTACATTTTTTAGAATTTATTTGCTATTTTTTTGTTGAGCCTTGAAACTCAACTTGAAAAATCATTTCAGCCTGATAACCCGTTATCAGTCGACCGAAGAATGTGCCTGCAATATTTAAAAGTTTATGTTCTATTTTGGTCGACTGACTAGTCGACTGATGATCCATCAGTCGACTGATAAAGATAGTCAGTCGACTGATGAGCTGTTTGACGCCTACAATGGTCATTTCATCAGTCGACTGATGATTTCCATCAATCGGCTGATAAGCCATAACAGCTATATTTTCAGCCTTGGTTATTTTATCATTTTTGCTTGTTTTGCTTGGGTTTTGTGCCTTGGTTTTTCATCCTATATAAACCCCTATTGTTATCATCAGAATATCTACCTAAGAGGGTTTTAAAAAGATTGTAAAGAGTTTTAAAGTTTGTTTAAAGGTTTTTAAGTTTGAGTTTACAAAGAGGAGGCTTGCATTTTCAATTGAAGAATTCATCTTCAATCTTCTTCAACCTCTATTGTGTTTATAGAGAAGTTTCCCTAACTCTTTTCTCTAGCAATTTGCTTTTGATTTTCATATTATCATCATTGCTAGTTTTGCTAATTGAGTTAGACTTTGTTTATACTCATTTTATCACACACACCCTATTTGAGCTTGTAGCATTTCATACATCATATATTGGGTCGTGGGATTATGATTTGTGAGATTGAGCTTACATTGAGTTCTCATCCATATTAGAGAATATTTTATTGTACTTGAGCTTCATTGTGAGTTGCACATTGTATTATACTTGGACACCGAGAGAAGTGGTTGGTGAGAGATGGGGTCGGTTCCAAGAGGAGTGGGGTCAGTAGTAAAGCCTAGTGAGAGGTGGTAATTTCGAATACTTGAGGAAGGTGACACATGCTAGGCCAACACTTAGAGGGTGTGAAGTGTATTTGTAATTGTGTAAGGTGTAAAGTTTTTGGTGAACTAGAAAACCAAATTGTGAGGTGTAAACATTATTCGGGTGAGCGTAGAAAACCCGGTTGCGATAGTAAAGATCTCCTCGAGGTGAGGAGTGGAGACGTAGGTCGTGGGGACCGAACTCCGTGAACATATCATGTGTTTGTGATTGTTTTTGTGCACTATCACTATTGTTGATTTACTCTTGTTTATATATCCTTGTATTGATCAAATTGAATATCAATATTATTGGGATATATTTATTAATTAATTTTAATCAGTATTAATATTTAGTAAGATTAGCAATAACCCTATTCACCCCCCTCTAGGATGCTTTCAAGTTTGACTTAGAGGCATTTTAACTTGATTATCGACATGTTTAACTGACGTAGTGAATGGATTGCATTTACTTGAGCTTGGTAGGTTGAACTTGATCCCGTCTCCTTAGGGTTGGTCACGGGTTAACTCGAAAATTTTTCTTTCTCTCTCACACTCATAGCACTAGCTAGTTGATTTAGCTGGGTTTCTCACATAGCTATGATTTGAGTGTTAGAATTGAGCATTTGTCCGGTTGATTGCATAAATGAATTCAAAGTATTGGATGTTTGAGTCAACAAGTTGGCGGTCTTTGTAAAGCCTTTAATTATTGTCTCCAAACTCTTTTCTAAAACATTGAGATGTTTATCATGATCAGAACTTAGAGGAATATGACTTATAGATTGATGGTGAGGAGACTGATTTAGATATGACAGATTTGGTTATTGGAAATTATTTTAAAAACTGAAAAGAATTGTGTTTCCTCTAAGAAATTGTTGGGTTGAAGTGGGAGTGAAGTTTTAATGTTCAAAATAGCTTTCCTTATTTTATGTAACATCTAGGTGATTTCTCTAACCTGAATTATAGGTTGGAGAAAATGGATCATTAAGGGGACACTGGAATGCGGTGTTTACCTGACCTAATGGTTGATTATTTCCTAAGAGGAAACATTCTTCTGAAACATGAATTGGAGAAAGAATGTTATGATAATTTAAGGTATAAACTTGATTGATTTAAACTGGAGCTCGTTCTTTGATTTCTAAAGCTTCTAATCTATGCATGATTGTAGCCATCTTTGCTTTAGAGGCTATGTTTGTCTTTAAGGAAAGACTGCTAGATTTAGGTTAGGGTACTAATAAAACTCTATGATCACATCGTTCTCACTACATGGTTTTCTCGGATAAACTCATAAAAATTCTCAAACTTCATCAACATTTTTTTTCAAAAAATCCCCTTAATACATCTATTCTAAGAAAGTTTTTTGAAGAATAATCCAATCCTTCATAGATGATTTGGCATAATCACTATTTTCAAGGCTGTAGTGAGTATATTGGATAAGAAGATCCTTAAATTTGTCAAAATACTCACAGAATGGCTCTCCTGAGACTAATGTTGTTTCTAAGCTTAACTGTTTTATAGATGGGGAAAATTTTCTTTAGAAAAATGGTAAGAAATTTATCTCAGGTTGAGATAGAATTCGTGAGTAAGCTATACAACCATTTCTTGGCTTTGTCCTTAAGAGCAAAATAAATAAATCTAAGCTTAATCGCATCCTCATATAAGTTTTTAATCTTAATCATAAGACAAACTTCCTCAAACTCGGAGATAAAAATATAAGCGTCTTTGGTTTCAATTCCTAAAAATTTTGAAAGCATGTTTATGAAATGTGGTCTAAGCGTAAAATTAAATCCATTGACATCGGGTAATGATAGGCAAATCCGCAAGTGCATGGACTCGTTGTAGTTATCAAGGTCGATCCTATAGGGGCTAGGGGTTAATTACTAAATTTCATGTTTTTCGACTAGCTAAATCGATATGTAAAATAGAAGGGATTAAAATTGCGAGATTAAATAATAGAAATAAAATAAACAGCTAATCGGGTGGAATTCAATATAATGAAGGGTCAGGATTGAGTTTTCACCACAACTTCGGTGTTCAATGATGAATTATTTCAGTTCTCGGTGTTGGTTTAAACTAGAAAGGGTGAATTAGCCTAAATTAAAGCCTCTTTCAAGGTCTAAAGATCGTGGCTAATTAATCCCAATTAATCTACTTTTATGGAATCAAGATTAAATTAAACTCATTAAGATTTATGCTAATCCTAATCAAATCCCTAAGGAATCTAGCCTATTTTTGTGGTTCGAGTTTCCTGCTTAATTTCTAGAGGTCCGGCACCTTTCGGTCCTTCAATTAATTACCTATGATTGTTAATCCGATGATCAAGCAAATCAACAAAATTAATTCCAAGAAATTAAGTTTAAAGATTTAAATTTTCACCAAGAACCTACATTAATTCATCATCAATTACCAAAAAGTTGGGTTCTTTCCCAATTCTAGAGAAGGAATCTACTCACACATGATTGGTATAAGAGAATACATCAAGTAAACATGCAAATCAATCATAAGAATAAATTAATTAAAGAGAGGAAAGAATTAACCCGTCTTTCAATTAAAATCTTCAAAATAAAGACTTGTAATCCAATCGTGTACAAGAAATCCATCGTCTTCCTCCAATACTTGAACTCTAAATTAGATACTAATTGACGGCTAAGAGAAAGTAAAAGGGTCCCACTTAACCGTAAGCTAAAATACCTATATATAGGTCTCCAAAAAATCTAGAAAAATATATGGCCCGAACCACAGGTGTAGTGCATGCCACACCCGGGTGTGGCAGAAGCTGTCTTCTAAATGTTGTCAGGGCTGGTCCAATGGTGCAGTGCACACCACACCAGGGTGTGGTGCAGTTTGTCTTGCTTATTTTATGCTCGTTCATGGTCGAAATTTTAGTTCATCATACTCGTGCATCCATTTTCTTCTCGAATCATGCATTCTCAATCTCAATGTTGCTTCAAACTCTTGTTTAACTTCCAACGATCATCGAATCTTTCAATCTTGAGCGAATACCTGCATATAAGAACACAAACCACAGCAGTATCCTTAATCTAAACATGAAATATGTATCAAACACCCGTAAATCGCACTAAGATAATGCATATTTTACGTGTTTATCAGGTAGCTTAATACAATGTGTGATTGTATTCCTAGTTGGATAACACATCTCGAAGAACGAGTGGATTAGGATTAGCCGTTTCTTCAAAAAATAGTTCAAAATAGATTAAATGATTGGTATTACCTCTAATCTAAACTTGCATACACCAAAACAATTTTTTTTTATAATTTTTAAATTAACTTTAAAAATTCAAAGAAAAATAAAAGTTAGTTTTTTCTTAGAGAAAAAACTAAAAATCTAAAATATAATGAGAAAATGAGAAGGATAAAGGAAAAATCTAACTAAAATAAATCAAAAGCAATCATTTTATGTTAATCACTTTAAGTTCTAGGGTTAAGCCTAAACTCAACTAGACCAGCTCCTAACCAAAAACTCTTTTAGTAAAAAGGTTGAAGTTTACTCAGTCAGTTAGCCAAGTAAGGATGATATTAGAGTGACATAAAAAATTAATTAAGTATAACCTTCCTTCCGGAGCGATTTACGCAACCCCTAAACCTTGCCCTAGACACCAACGGATTTAAGTAAACTTAAACCGGTTCGCTTAAGGATTTCTTGGTCCTTAATGAGCTTGAGTCATTAGGGGTAAATGTCTAATGAGTTTTAAAAGGCTTAGGTTTGTATAGTGAGAAATTAGTGATTTGTTGGCTAAGGAAAGGCTGATAAAATTTCTCACTTTATCTTGATTAGTGTGTTTTTACCTTTAAGAATATTTTTAAGTGAGTGTCAAATTAAGATGCTCAAATTACTTCGGTGAATTCCTACTATTATATGTAATGCGACCCTACGAATTAAAAGCAAATACAAAAATATACAAAAATAAAATCTTTTTGCTTTTTAATTAAGGTCAACAATCAAATAGATGTGAGAAAGAGAGCTCTTGTTTAAATTTATTATCTTGTTAGTAAATATCTAAGTGGATGGTGAATTTTATTAGGGTTGACAAAAGTAAAAAAAAATTCTAGATCCTAATTGCCTCTAATTGTGAGAAACTAACTAAAAACAATGGAATTAAAGATACTAGAAAGAGAAGTTACCATAATCAAGAGGGTTCTAACCTCTCGAAGAAAAATATTCAATCTTCAATCTTCAATCTTCAATCTTCAATCCTTAATCTTCAATCTTCAAAGTGGTTCCTTCACAAGAAAACACACAAATTAAAAAACCAAAACAGAAATTTCTAATTACAAGCATCTTCCCCGGCAACTAGGGGTGGCAAACGGGTCAGATCGGGTCATAGTTGACCCAACCCATATAAGTGTGATCCGACCCGACCCGTTTAACAAATGGGTCAATGTGATCCGACTCGTTTATTAAACGTGTTACCCGACCCGACCCATATGACCCGAATGACCCGTTTATCAAATCTCATTTCAATATCATGGATACTGTACAAATCAAGATGAAATGATCCCACCAATGTCAAAGGGAGTATTGTGCAATTTGGCCAATTTATACAAATTAACTGACTAAAGAGAAAAGACTTAAAGAATCCTATCACACACACTGATCCTGTGATTTCCCCAAATAAAAACATAATATTATACGAAAAACTCCACTTCCTCCCCTTTCTCACCTTCATCAGCTCCTTCGATTCTCTCATCATCACCATCGCCACCAGATCCTGCAGCTCCTGCAACCAAATCACAGCCCACCATGTCAGCTCAAATCCATAGAAACCCAATGGAAGCACAAACATAACAATTTTGGCACATAAAAGTTTGGGTTTTGATATATCATTGCCCAATCTCATCAATTTTAACGTGCAAAATTCAATGTTTCATTCTGAACCTTTGACAGGACATAACAAATACAGAAAATCTTTACATGATATTAAGCTTTGCGGACTTCTTTCGAAACAGAGAGATTTGGTGAAAATATCTCAAAAAACCCCTAAAAATTCCACCTTTTCCCGAATTACGTATTCCTCCTCCTTCTCAACAAAGAACACGTTGAACTTCTCAAGCTCGTCCTCAAGTGACCCTAGAAACTTGTGACGCCCCTGGGTTCACGCAAGGCTGCAGTCCAAGGTGAAACCAAGAATGTCAAACCTGCCTTGCACCATACCGTGCAATAACATGTTTCACCATCATAATTAACATCTATCTAGTAGAGTCAACAGCAGGTGCAGGTACAAAAGTAAGTAGAAGATAATACAAGGAAGACTGATGAAATGATAATAATCAAATTAATGTCTCATCATCCAACATACAGAAATATATAGTCAAAGTCTGAGTAGATAAACTGGAATACTCAACAAGTCTCAAATACAAATATCTGACAAGAAGGAAATAAGGCACACAACCTTTACAACTTCTAGAACAAGATCTGACAAGAAGGAAATAAGGCACACAACCTTTACAACTTCTAGAACAAGACTCTCAAATGTCTAAACTAAAGTCTACTGTGAAACTCTAAAAGAAAACATATAACTAACTAGACAGCTGAAGTTAAAATGCATCGCCATCAACCTGTGATTCTTCGGGCTCCTGGCTCGTTACCTGAAAGGGGGAGGGACAACGAGCGTCAAAGCGCTAGCGAGTAATATCACAACCAACCCCAAGGGAACAGAGCTCATTGTATAAGAAAATATAGATAATACGTAATAGATCTAAAATCATTGATCATACTAAAGAGGATTTTAGTATTTAGAAATTTACAACACGAGAATAGGTACGTCGAGCGAAATAATCCAAACAAGGAAACCCTCATGTATATACCTTGTATCTCAAATTGTAAATCCCTAAACACCAAACCCGAGGTTCTAGTACAGGAAACAATAATAACAGAAATACAACAAATATCAGAGTATAAATACAGTGCCATGATATAGCCTACATGAGTATCATGTTATTACTTACATGAACATCATGTCAAAATCTACATATGTGTCATGTCATAAACTACTGTGAGAAAGTCATATGCAGGGTTAAGAACTATGTCCGATACAGGAACTATATACTGTGGTTTCCAAACTCATGGAATAAATAGCAAATGTCCAACACGAGGACTGAAATAGATTATAGTCCAACACGAGCACTTCTATGGATTATAGTCCAACACGAGGACTGTAAAAAGGTGAAAATGTCACTGAGATATATAGTGAAATCTACTTATATCAACCCACACTCAAATCAGTATGTAAATCCCCAATTTTGTACCCTCAGGTCATCTATCGTGCATGGATACATAGTAAGACTAAAATCCAGAGTCAGAAAATCCAGGCAAACTCTCGAACATGAGAAAAATACACAGAACAGGGATTTAACAACAGGCTTTGCGGTCGACCGCAGCCCTTCAGCGCGCCCAGCGGTCGACCGCTGTGGTCGACCGCAGAGCTGACAGAAGCCCAAATCTGGGTTTTCTGTCAGCTCAAAACCTAAAATAAACGTTTTGATTTCTGTGCTAACTAAAGTTCTAACTTCTCAAAAAAATCATACAGTAGAAAAACAATGAATTTTAATCATGTAAACTACATCCCTAATATTCCAATACATGGGAAACATGTTAAAAACGTTTTAATAGCAGTAAATCATGATTTAACTCTTGTTTAAGCAATTTCAGATCTAGATCTTCACTAAACAGAAAATTTGTGAACTTTTATAAACTGAAACCTTTGATTCTTACAATCCATATTATAGAGAACTCAATTTTATACGAAAATACCTTTTGGGCTTATCAAAACTCAGGAAAAATCAAAAGAAAACCATAAAAAAAATAGGGGTGAGGGATTGGGCGAGATGATACTCGCCTCAGGTGAGAAACAAGCTCCTAGATCTGCAGGAGGTTGATCCCCTTCGCTGAAATCTGATGATACTCGCCTCAGGTGAGAAACAAGCTCCTAGATCTGCAGGAGGTTGATCCCCTTCGCTGAAATCTAACAAATCCCGCTGAAAACCCTTTGCAACTCCTCCAAAATCACCAAATACAAAAATCTAGGGTTTGAGGGGGAAGAGGGGGCTAGGGTTTCTGATTTCAGATCTAAGAGGGGCTCTCTCGGATACATTAGCCTATATACCAAACCCACAACCCGACCCGAAACCCGATTAAACCCAAACCTGAGAAAAACTCTCTGACCGTTATGCGGTCGACCGACGCGGTCGACCGCCACGGTCGACCGCTACGGTCGACCGTGTAGCAGAAAAATGCCTGCTGCTAGGCATATAATATGCTGGTCATTTCACGCGATTTCTCTCACATAGAAACACTTGATGGGTTCTCAAACACAGATAATTACATTCATCTGATATATATACGTATATATATGATTATTTATCATAAGAGAATTATTTATTATTTATAATTCACATATATTCATTATAGCAAATTTTGGGGTTTTACATTCTTCCCCCCTTAAAAGAATTTCGTCCTCGAAATTCGGAAATTATACGAATCTCGAAAAAATGAACTACTAGATAACATATGGAGATATTTATACTTAACGATCTAAAATGGTAATATTCTCGCAAAAATCCTAATCTAGTGGAACTAGTACATCGGGCGAAAAATCCAAACAAGGAACCCCCCATACATATACCATGTGTTCCAAAAGATTGAAAATTGAGCGAAAATATCTTCATTCTAGCGTTAAACGTAAACATAACCAAAGGTATAAACGTAAAGTAAGATATATAACATAATAAGAATTAATTTACCTGCTCAACCAAGTGTGGGTAGTCGCGACGCATGTCCTCCTCGCGCTCCTAAGAAATCTCCTCAACGCCTCCTCGGTTCCACTGAACTTTCACTAATGGAATCACCTTACTCTTGAGTCTCTTGTCCTCTCTGGCAAGTATACAAACCGGAATCTCAATAGTAGTCAAATCTCCTGAAGCTCAATCTCTGGTGCATCCAATACTCACTGCTGCTCCTCATCATGCAAGTGTTTATTGAGCATAGAAACATGAAACACATTGTGTATACTAGACATCGATCCTGGAAGATCTAGTCTGTATAACACAGCTCCAATGCGCTCTAAAATCTGAAATGGTCCAATATATCTCGGCGCAAGATTCCCCCGTCGCCCAAATCGCTGTACGCCTTTCATAGGTGATACCTTCAGCATGACTGAGTCTCCCACCTAAAACTCCAAGGGTCTTCGCCTCTTATCTGCATAACTCTTCTGCCGACTTTGAGCGGCTAGAATCCGCTCCCTGATCAATGCTACTTTCTTGGTAGTCTGCCTCACTAGCTCTGGCCCAAGCATCAAGCTGTCCTCTGGCTCTGCCCAACATATCGGCGATCTACAAGGCCTCCCGTATAATGCCTCATATGGAGCCATACCAATCGTCGCTTGATAACTATTGTTATAAGCGAACTCGACCAGTGGAATATGATCCTCCCAACTACCCTGAAAATCAATGACACAAGCTCGTAACATGTCTTCCAACACCTGATTTACTCTCTCTGTCTGACCATCCGTTTGAGGGTGGAAAACACTGCTGAATGATAGACTGCTGCCAAAAGAGTCCTGAAAACTCCTCCAAAAGTGCGAAGTGAACACCGAACCTCGATCCGATACAATCATGTCTGGAACTCCATGAAGTCGGACTATCTCCCTGATAAATATCCTCGCATAGGCCTCGGCGGTATAAGTAGTCCTCACTGGAATGAAATGTGCCGACTTCGTCAACCGGTTTCACCAGAAATGTCTCTTCAAGTCCTTGTACATCTTGGTGGTCCCTGGATGCACTGTGTACCGAGTACGGTGTGCCTCATCAAATAACTCTCTCTTCAGCTCTGCACTGGCTGGCACAACCAATCTACCCTTCATCCGTAGACCTCTATTAGCTCCAATGGTCCAATCAGTCTTAGGCTCTTTGGAAATCTCTTCCTTTCGGATTTGAATCCAAGAGTCTCCCAACTGAGCTCTGACAACTCTGTCACTCCAAGATGGCTGCACTGATATAGCTCCCAAGAATGCACTGGTACCTCCAATTTCGGGTCTAAAATCAAACTGGCTAAGCGTGATAAGGTCCCGATGCAGTGAACACCTCAAGACCGAAACCCGATGCCGATGCTTCCTGCTTAATGCATCTGCTACGACGTTCGCCTTCCCCGGATGATACTGGATTGCGAACTCGTAGTCCTTAATAAACTCAATCCATCTCCTCTGTCTCTGATTGAGTTCCTTCTGGGAAAAGAGGTACTTCAGACTCTGGTGGTCTGTGAATAATTCAAACTGTACTCCATATAAGTAGTGCCTCCATGACTTTAGTGCAAATATCACCGCTGCTAACTCCAAGTCATGAGTGGGATAGTTCTGCTCATGTACCCTCAACTGCCTTGATATATAGGCTACTACCCTCTGAGTCTGCATCAATACGCCTCCTAAGCCTGCCAATGATGCATCTGTATACACAACGAATGTCCTGTCACTGCTCGGAATAGTCAGAACCGGCGCTGTAGTCAACTTAGCCTTCAAAATATCAAAGGCCTTCTGGCACTCCATGCTCCATATGAACTGTACGCCCTTCTTCATAAGGCGTGTAATCGGCGTTGAAATCTTCGAGAAGTCCTGAATGAACTTCCTGTAATAGCCCGCTAAGCCCAAAAAGCTGCGAATCTCTATCACCGTCTTTGGTGGCTCCTAATCAACAACTGCTGCGACCTTAGTTGGATCCACTGCTATACCCTCCCTACTGATGACATGGGCAAGAAATCTGACTTCTGAAAACCAAAACTCACACTTGCTGAACTTAGCATACAACTGATGCTCCTGAAGAGTCCTCAACGCTATCCGTAGATGCTCCTCGTGATCCGCCTCCGATCTCGAGTAAATGAGAATATCATCGATGAAAACGATCACGAACTGATCCAAGAAGGGACGAAAAACCCGGTTCATCAAGTCCATGAATACCGCGGGTGCATTGGTCAACCCAAATGGCATGACCAAGAACTCGAAAGAACCATATCGAGTAAGAAAGGCGGTCTTGGGAATATCCATCTCCCGAACCCGTAGCTGATGATAGCCAGAACGAAGATCAATCTTTGAGAAATACTGCGCTCCCTGTAACTGGTCAAACAAGTCATAAATCCTAGGTAGTGGGTACCTATTTCGGATAGTGACCTTGTTCAACTCTCTATAATCTATGCACAATATCATACTACCATCCTTCTTCTTCACGAAGAGGACCGGTGCGCCCCACGGAGAATGACTCCGGCGAATAAAACCCTGATCTAGCAACTCGTCCAACTGGGTCTGAAGCTCCCTCATCTCAGCTGGTGCCATACGATAGGGTGCGCGGGATATCAGGGCTGTGCCTGGCTGCAACTCAATACAGAACTCTACCTCTCTCACTGGAGGCAATCCAGGTATGTCCTAAAAGACATCCTGATACTCCGAGACAACTCTAGTCTCCAATAACTCAGCACCCTGATCCCGTCGCAACGAGCTGGAGTCTAGTCATAAATGCATGAGAGATGAAAGAATGCGAAGCTCCCGAATCGAAAAGAATACGGGCGGGAAAGGAGTTCACAAAGAACGTACCCTCCACTACGGCTCCGCTGGCTCCATGATCACGGGGGACTACTGCATATACCCTGCCTGTGCCTGAAGGCTGCTCTGCTACTGGAGATGGAGAATATGGGACAATCTGCCCCTGAGGAACCTCCTGAACTGCTCGAATCTGTCCCTCAGTCCTCTGAGCTGCTGGCGGTGCCTCAAACCTGTTCTGCTGGCCCTGACCTCTGCCCTGCTGGCGCTGCTGCTACTGCTGGTTCGGACCCTTGCCCTGCTGGGCTCCTGCTGGTGCACTGCGACACTCTGATGCCTTATGCCCGACCTTGTGACAATTAAAACAAGATCCCTGGAACTTGCGCTGCTGATGCACTCTCTGATCCTGTTGGGGTCCCCTTTTATAAGGGCCATGATGCTGCTGCTGATGTCCAGAAAAGAGTCTCTTGTTCTTGCTCTTATCCCTACTCTGTCCTGTCTTGGCCTTTCCTTCCTTATCCTTCTGGAACATAGTAGTCTCAATCTCCTGAGAAGTGGCAGCCTCAGCTACCTCCCTAACTGAATAAAACCTCCTCGACACGAGGTACCGTCGGAGATTAGGGCGAAGCCCTGCTAAGAACATCTGAGCCTGACGCTCTCCCGTCTGCCACATGCCCATGAAATGTAGCAACTCCCCGGCTCTCGAAATCCGCCACTGACATGTCCCCCTGAGTCAACCGGGACAACTCAAGCTCCTTCCCAGTCCGTGCTGCAGAAGAAATGTACTGACCATCAAAGAAGTATATGAAATCCTCCCATGTGAGGGTCATCCTCTGCTCCAGAGTAAACTGAAGTTGGTACCATCTCCAGGCATCTCCCTTCAGACTGTAGGATGCCAGCCTCTGCTTCTGTACTGAATCTACACCGAGTATATCGAGAATATTGCTCACATCCTCCTTCCACTTATGGGCTACAAGAGGGTCTGGTGACCCCTGGAACTCTGGTGCCCTCATCTTCTGGTATCTCTCCACCATACGCAGCCAAGCCTCCTGCTCAGTGGCTCTATCTGGGACTGCTAGAGGAATGGCTATAGGCGCGATCTCTGAGGATCTCTCTCTGATAGGAACGACGGGTATCCCCTGCTGCTGAGCTACCGGTGGTGGTGATGTCCATGGTGCTATATGAGTCGTCACCAACTCCTCAATGGTCGTCATCCTGGCAATGAGAGGAGCCATAATATCCACCAAGTACTGAGGAGCCTGCTGCGGCTCTGGTGGTGCCTGCTCCTACTCGGGTGGAGCCTGCTGCGGCTCAGGTGGGGTCTGCTGGGGCTCTGCCTGAGTGGCCCTTCGAGTGCGGGGTCTCCCACGTCCTGCCATCCCTCTAATCATCAGAAAAATAAAGTTCATGAGTCAAAGTAGACGTATATTCTATTCATACATAGTACATTACAATATGATTTTCACATCTAATAGTATTCACGAATATACTTTAAGCAAAAAGAATTAGTTGTCATAAAAAAAATTTCTCAAAATTTTGAGATATACGCATATATCGTCCTCACTCATACTAGGAAATCCTTAGCGGACTCTATACATGAATCCTAAGAAACTCTAACCTAGCTCCACGACTCGACACAGGATGATCCTAAGGATACTGGAACTAGAGCTCTGATACCAAATGTGACGCCCCTGGGTTCACGCAAGGCTGCAGTCTAAGGTGAAACCAAGAATGTCAAACCTGCCTTGCACCACACCGTGCAATAACATGTTTCACCATCACAATTAACATCTATCTAGTAGAGTCAACAACAGGTGCAGGTACAAAAGCAAGTAGAAGATAATACAAGGAAGACTGATGAAATGATAATAATCAAATTAATGTCTCATCATCCAACATACAGAAATATATAGTCAAAGTCTGAGTAGATAAACTGGAATACTCAACAAGTCTCAAATACAAATATCTGACAAGAAGGAAATAAGGCACACAGCCTTTACAACTTCTAGAACATAACTCTCAAATGTCTAAACAAAAGTCTACTGTGGAACTCCAAAAGAAAACATATAACTAACTAGACAGCTGAAGCTAAAATGCATCGCCATCAACCTGCGATTCTCCGGGCTCCTGGCTCGTTACCTAAAAGGGGGAGGGACAACGAGCGTCAAAGTGCTAGCGAGTAACATCACAACCAACCCCAAGGGAACAGGGCTCATTGTATAAGAAAATATAGATAATACGTAATAGATCTAAAATCATTGATCTTACTAAAGAGGATTTTAGTATTTAGAAATTTACAACACGAGCATAGGTACGTCGAGCGAAATAATCCAAACAAGGAAACCCTCATGTATATACCTTGTATCTCAAATTATAAATCCCTAAACACCAAACCCGAGGTTCTAGTACAGGAAACAATAATAACAGAAATACAACAAATATCAGAGTATAAATACAGTGCCATGATATAGCCTACATGAGTATCATGTTATTACTTACATGAACATCATGTCAAAATCTACATAAGTGTCATGTCATAAACTACTGTGAGAAAGTCATATGCAGGGTTAAGAACTATGTCCGATACAGGAACTATATACTGTGGTTTCCAAACTCATGGAATAAGTAGCAAATGTCCAACACGAGGACTGAAATGGATTATAGTCCAACACGAGGACTTCTATGGATTATAGTCCAACACGAGGACTGTAAAAAGGTGAAAATGTCACTGAGATATATAGTGAAATCTACTTATATCAACCCACACTCAAATCAGTATGTAAATCCCCAATTTTGTACCCTCAGGTCATCTATCGTGCATGGATACATAGTAAGACTAAAATCCAGAGTCAGAAAAACCAGGCAAACTCTCGAACATGAGAAAAATACACAGAACAGGGATTTAACAATAGATAGCGCGGCGGTCGACCGGTGCGATCGACCGCGCTCTGATACGCGCCTGGCGGTCGACCGCTGCGGCATCGCGGTCGACCGCCAGAGCGTCGCGGTCGACCGAAACGGCTTTGCGGTCGACCGCAGCCCTTCAGCGCGCCCAACGGTCGACCGCTGTGGTCCCCTTCTGCGCGCCTAGCGGTCGACCGCTGCGGTCGATCGCAGAGCTGACAGAAGCCCAAATCTGGGTTTTCTGTCAGCTCAAAACCTAAAATAAACGTTTTGATTTCTATGCTAACTAAAGTTCTAACTTCTCAAAAAAATCATACAGTAGAAAAACAATGAATTTTAAGCATGTAAACTACATCCCTAATATTCCAATACATGGGAAACATGTTAAAAACGTTTTAATAGCAGTAAATCATGATTTAACTCTTGTTTAAGCAATTTCAGATCTAGATCTTCACTAAACAGAAAATTTGTGAACTTTTATAAACTGAAACATTTGATTCTTGCAATCCATATTATAGAGAACTCAATTTTATATGAAAATACCTTTTGGGCTTATCAAAACTCAGGAAAAATCAAAAGAAAACCATAGAAAAATAGGGGTGAGGGATTGGGCGAAATGATACTCGCCTCAGGTGAGAAACAAGCTCTTAGATCTGCAGGAGGTTGATCCCCTTCGCTGAAATCTGACAAATCCCGCTGAAAACCCTTTGCAACTCCTATCCCCTTCGCTGAAATCTGACAAATCCCGCTGAAAACCCTTTGCAACTCCTCCAAAATCACCAAAAACGAAAATCTAGGGTTTGAGGGGGAAGAGGGGGCTAGGGTTTCTGATTTCAGATCTAAGAGGGGCTCTCTCGGGTACATTAGCCTATATACCAAACCCACAACCCGACCCGAAACCCAATTAAACCTAAACCTAAGAAAAACTCTTTGACCGTTGTGCGGTCGACCGACGCGGTCGACCGCCACGGTCGACCGCTACAGTCGACCGCGCATTAGAAAAATGCCTGCTGCTAGGCATATAATATGCTGGTTATTTCACGCGATTTCTCTCACATAGAAATACTTGATGGGTTCTCAAACACAGATAATTACATTCATCTGATATATATACGTATATATATGATTATTTATCATAAGTGAATTATTTATTATTAATAATTCACATATATTCATTATAGTAAATTTCGGGGTTTTACAAAACTCCTCCTCCTCCCTCGTCATCTTGTAGCCACCTCCGGCAGAGGTCTTGGTGCGCTTCGCCGATCGATCACCGCCGACGGCGATGAGCTTGAGCTTCTTCTTGAGGTATTTGTAGGAGAGGAACTTGTCTCTCCACTCGGGTAGGGTTTCCTCTATCTGATTGCTCAGACTCTTCCCAAACTTCATCAGAACCCTAATTTCATTCTCGATTACAAAAATGGATAAATGTTTTTTTAACGATTAGAGGAAGAATCGCCGGAGATGCTGGACCTGGTGGGAAACTGGGGGTCGAAGGAAGAGGAGAAACAGGAGAAGGAGGAGGATGAAGACGACGAAGATGATTTCATATTTGGAGTCTGCAACCCACTTAGATTAAACGGGTCGGTATTGGGTTACATGGGTCAGTTTGGGTCAACCCTAATTTACCCATCTAATAAACGGGTCAGTTCGGGTTGACCCATTTATGACCCATACCTAATATAAACGGGTCGAGTCGGGTCGGGTTGATGAGTCGGGTCATAATTTGCCACCCTACTGTAGGCGTCAAAAAATGCTGAAAGATATCCAAATACAGCTAAAGAGGAAATCATCCAAAAAATCAAAAGAACACAAGTATAGACTGTCTCGTCGTGCGGGACAGCCTTTGCTGTCTCGCCGTGCGGGACAGCCTTTGCTGTCTCGCCGTACGGGACAGCCTTTGCTGTCTCGCCATGCGAGACAGTGTTTACTGTCTCGCCCGTGAGACAGCTTTCAAAAGATCAAAAACTGTTTTGTAACCGCCGACACGTGGCCACCAACTGTTCAAGAACGTGGGAAACATCGTGGGCGAGAATCACGTTGATAACTGCCAAAATAACGGAGTTGTAAAATGTGGGAAGACAGTTACAAGAAAACTGCTGGGCGGTTGAGGATTTCCGAGACAGTGTTTACTGTCTCGGAACCCGAGACAGTCTTTGCTGTCTCGGAAGCAGATTTTGTCCAGGAGGTTATAAATACCCCCGAAGGCCATTTTTGAGGAGGAGGCTGATTTCAGAGCAGACATGGCAGAGTTCTTGAGCTTCTGGCAATCCCTTGAGATTCGAGCTTTGACTTGATTTCAAGAAAAACGACTATCTTACTTTGATAAGATATCGTTTCAAATTCTCACTTCGATAAACGAAGGAAGAATCACTAAACCCCTCACGATTCAATCAGAATCTGTGATTTGGTGGTCCACGAGCCAAAGCGCTCTCGGTACAGGCAAAGATCCCACGCAAGCAGCGATCCAAACAATGATCCTGCGTTTGTTTCTAAAAAGTTGTAATTTTTATTTTGTTGTGTAAAAGAAGTCTTATAAAAAGACTATTTCTTTTGAATTTGTTGTAATCGACTGAAGATATAATGAATTCCACAACGAGAGCAACTTTTGACGCAAAACAAACTGGCGACCACAGTGGGAGCCAACGGTTTCGCTGCCGAGACCGTCGTGTCGTAGCCGATCAAGATATTGGTTGAGTCCACAGTTGAATATGAATTCGACCAATCAAAGTTTGAGGAATATCTGTCATCCTCGTCCTCAAAGTTTTCCTCGCCTCACAAATGCAGGAAAATTTCATCTTCTAAGAAGGTTTTTAAGTTTTCGACTCCGTCGAACATTACAAATGAAGACTCTCGCCTGATTGGCAACACTTCTGCTCACAATGACTCTTATCTAGTTAAAGAGTCATCGAATCAAAGCTCATTGGCACTGACGAAGAGGGCTCGTCAGAGACAACGTCAGCGCCACGCTCGCCAAATAGCTAAGGCCTTGGAACAAACCGACGGGGTTCGTTATCACGCGGACCTAGAGTCGAGGAGGCATCGAGTGGTTCAGTTGTCTCAACGACCAATAACTCATACCTCTGCTAAATTAACGACGGATGAATGGACTTTCGTCAAAAGGGCGCGCTCGACCTTCAAAGAACGTATACAAAAGCGTTGTGCAAACGCTGCTCATGCCCGTGCTCTCTTACAACAAAGGCGACCAAGAAACAAGGAGATGGTGGCCAAAGAACCACCAAAACTCTACAAAGTTTGGATTCCAAAGTCCAGAGTTGTGCAAAATCAGCATTCGGAGCCCGTTAAGACTCCACACCCGCAAGGGGGTAGTTCCAAACGTGTGACTCCTGAAATAACCTTGGATCGCTCAAAGGTAACAATAATTTGTCCTGAGAATGCCAACAAGGTTTTACACCCCCAGAAGAAGACACATTCACCAAAAGACATCGTCATACCTGGGAGGTCATGCCAACAAACGATACGATTTTTTGGCAATCATACCGATGAATCGTATTATCAAGTTGGGGTTGTGAATAATTTTCGAAAGAGAGTTATTCGAGAAATAAACTCTCATTGTTCCTGTGCGCGACTCGTTAAAGCAGCATTATCAGAATGTCTCCAAACGAGAAGCCATCCCGCAAAGAGTCTCAATGGTCCAGAGACTTTTCACCGAAATGTCAAAGCCCAAGCCGGGACATTTCTGCAATAAACTTGCTGTCCAAGAGGATGAACTCCCTGAAGTCACCATCAACATGGTTGATAAAAGAAAGTCTAAGCGGCATTCAAGTGACTCAGATCCTGACTTTTCCCCGAGAGGAAAAGTCAATTCAAGAATTGCCAAACCGATGTCCTGACTCCAGTTAGGAGCCATCAGACATAGAGACTACAAGAGAATGCATGAAGGAATGTCATCAGAGGATGAGCTCTCGGATACTTGTTCTGCGATCGCTTCGGATGATACGGTATCTAGCACAGGACAAACCAGAGAAGTACTCACAATCACCTCTGATCAGTTCACTCAAATACTTCAAGAAGCTCTAGCCAAACAACGTGAAGAAATTAGAGCTGAAATGAGGACAGAGATGGAGTTAGCTATCCAACAAATGAGAGAATTGCTAGCTCAATGGCCTCAACCTCCTGAGTCCAGTCAGCGAGCTGAATCCAGTCGCCACACTCAGAATGTTATAGATGATAGTGATCCAGAAGTGGATGAATTCATTATGGCTGATACTCCTCCCAATAGTAATAACGCTGGGGGTGGTTTAACACACCCTCCCAATAACGATATTGGGGGTGGTTCAATGGCACCTCTTACAGGGGATGGCCTAACTCATTCTCCTCAACGTCCTTCGAATGAAGACATAGGCGATGACGAGAAAATGAAAGAGCTTGAAAACAAAATCAACGCTTTGATGACGGCTCAAGAAGTGAAAAAGACGGGTATTCCATGTCCCTATCCAAGAGAATATGATTCAATACCGTACCCGGCAAAATTCAGAAGAGCTCGCCTATTCAGCACTTGATTTATTTCAAGTCTCATGTGGGCATGATTTCTGAAAACGAGGCTTTAATGGTCCGGTCATTCGTTGGCACTCTTCGTGGGCCCGCCTTCGATTGGTATCGACGTCTCAAGCCAGGGAGCATCAATTGCTGGGATGACATGGAAAGTTTATTCCTCAGCAATTTCTTCGATGATGACACCGAAGTGTCAATCGGAACCCTTCTGGATGAAAAACAAAAAGACGGAGAGTCAGTCGACGATTTTGTCAAGCGCTTCCGTCGCTTCCGTAACAAAGCAATGAATTGCAGAGATCCTGTTACAGAGGAGTTCATCCTGCAAACATGCCATAATAATTTCTCCATCGATGTCCTGGAAGCTCTGGGGGTCGTACCATCCAAAACTTGAAAAGAGTTAAAATTACGTAGCGAACAAGCTGAACACTTTCTTAAAAGAAAGAAAGCTGAAAGAAGCCGACCGATGACATCTGCAATCACTGGGAACGCGACTCCCGATCCGAGGTTTCAAAAGGAGTATTCTTTCGAAGATGATGAAGCTCCAGCCATCTTGAAATACCTCCTCGCCAACGATAAGATCGAGCTACCACCTATTAAAGATCAGGAGGGAGCTAAGAGAATTACGGATCCAAACTACTGTGCGTACCACAGAAGGGTTCTTCATCCCACTGAGATTTGCTTCGGACTCAAAAATAAAATCCAAGCATTAATTGACTCCGGTGTTATAACGGCGAAACAAGCCAAGTAAAGACGACTCATACTCCATTGGATACACGAGTATAAACTGTTTCCCCAACTCCAGTGGGTGCACGAGTATAAACTGTTTCCCCACACTCCAAAGAGCATATGAGTATAAACTGCTTCTCGATTATCCAACTGAGTATAATGTTAAACCCGGTTTCGCAAAGGAAGCTGGGGGGATCGTCTCAAATTCCCATCTTGGTCAAACCTTTAAACAGTTAGGACCAAAGCCAAAATCCCCTCTCGATTCGTTCCATGAACGAGAGGTCCACAAATTGAACGATCAAACCTTTAAACAGTTAGGATCGTCTCAAATTCCCATCTTGGTCAAACCTTTAAACAGTTAGGACCAAAGCCAAAATCCCCTCTCGATTCGTTCCATGAACGAGAGGTCCACAAATTGAACGATCAAACCTTTAAACAGTTAGGATCGTCTCAAATTCCCATCTTGGTCAAACCTTTAAACAGTTAGGACCAAAGCCAAAATCCCCTCTCGATTCGTTCCATGAACGAGAGGTCCACAAATTGAACGATCAAACCTTTAAACAGTTAGGATCGTCTCAAATTCCCATCTTGGTCAAACCTTTAAACAGTTAGGACCAAAGCCAAAATCCCCTCTCGATTCGTTCCATGAACGAGAGGTCCACAAATTGAACGATCAAACCTTTAAACAGTTAGGATCGTCTCAAATTCCCATCTTGGTCAAACCTTTAAACAGTTAGGACCAAAGCCAAAATCCCCTCTCGATTCGTTCCATGAACGAGAGGTCCACAAATTGAACGATCAAACCTTTAAACAGTTAGGATCGTCTCAAATTCCCATTTTGGTCAAACCTTTAAACAGTTAGGACCAAAGCCAAAATCCCCTCTCGATTCGTTCCATGAACGAGAGGTCCACAAATTGAACGATCAAACCTTTAAACAGTTAGGATCGTCTCAAATTCCCATTTGGTCAAACCTTTAAACAGTTAGGACCAAAGCCAAAATCCCCTCTCGATTCCTTCCATGAACGAGAGGTCCACAAATTGAACGATCAAACCTTTAAACAGTTAGGATCGTCTCAAAACTCCCACTTGGTCAAACCTTACTACAGTTAGGACCAAAGCTAAAATCCTCTCTCGATTCCCTCCATGA